GAGGAAAAGCACAGATGGAGGTTAGAGTTCCCACTCATTTTCCACCTTGGAGTTGATGAAAGGAAGCAGCGTAAACACCACAGAAGAAAACACAAAAGGTGGGCAATCAGTGACATCATTCAGCACCGGTCGTTGGAGCAAACGCAGCTAAAGCAGAGCTCCCCTGTGACGCATTCGTAAGACGACGAAACGGTCGAGGTTAAAATCAAGCACCGGGAGTTCAGGGTTGCACTTTACAGGAATCCAGAAACCCTGTAGGGGGCACACCGTGATGGAGGAGCCCAGGGAGTAAATATGTAGAAAAATGCTCACATGGCGTCCATTTTCATGACTCATTGGCCCGTGTAGTGAGGCCATTTTATGAGCGGCGACACCACATTGAACCTCATAATCTCATTTAGAGCGGGATCCATCACCTTTATGGGCTAAATGTGCCCGGTCGAGTACGTAACCACTTCCTCCAGTTCGTTATCAAAGAAAAAACACCTGCTTTTCCTCCAGATCTTTGAGGGACTTGGCTTTCAATTAGAATAATGAGGAGGAATAATAAAAACACCAGAGCAGCACAGGTTCACAAAGAAGCTCATTTTGTTGGACCACTCATATCAAAAGGAGTTTAAAAGTTCCGTCATCCTGGAGCTGCTTTTTATTGGCATCTAAACGTCAAAATAAGTGTCCTATAAAATAATAATAATAAATACTTATATTCAAGTTCTTTCATTATCCTTATAAAACAATACCGTTATTCAAATCAATTTTAAAAAGCTCAGCATTCCCATTGATTAGACAATAATATACACCGTCTTGACGGACTCCGACCCTGCAGGGCTGAGAGGATGTCAATAATCTGGTAAATTATTATTGATTGTTTCATATGCAGATCTGACTCTGGTGTAAATTAATGGGAGAAATCTTTCAGACACTGTGCACTTCCATTACCACCTCCACACAGTCGAATCAATGATGGTCTACAAATAGTCGATCACTCAAGCCAGGCCAGTTCCAAGATTTCATTTCTCATTAACTTCCGGCCGGCCAGTTCCAAGAAGATTTCATTTCTCATTAACTTCCGGCTGAAACAGACATGGACAAAGTGATGTTCGTGGGAATTTCTCGATTATTTATTTAAGAACCGGAAGAGCCTTTCTTATTTTCCACACATGAAATTAATCACGTATGATGAAGTTTTTTTTTTTAAAAAAGTCATAACTTTCCACCATGCAATGGGAATAAAGTGTCTTTCATCCTCAACGCACTGTGTTCTACAGATGCTGCTACAACACTGCTGTCACCGCTGGTGCAGCGTTCTAACACGCACAATCTGACGGAGACCGTAGGATCCACAGTGTGCGCAAAGGTTCTCTCGTGTCCCCCCTCCCCGACCTCCGCTGCCCGCACGGCTTGCGCTTCACTAATTCGTGACACATGAAATGAAAACTCAACCTCACCGCTGGCAACATTTACCCAGAAATCCCCGTGGCCGATGATAGAGTAAAGAAGTTGAACGTTCCACACACTCACCGATCAGCATCGTGCGTCCTGGACCGTGTCCTCGTGTCTCCAGCTCGCTGTGACACCGTGCGTAAAGACCGACTTCGCGTTGTATTACGCACGTCTATCCACAGAGACGCGCGGCGCACCGGTGCGACCGTGTACCCGGAGGGGAGCCTTGTGCGCAGTGTGCTGCTGCTGCAGCGGCTCCTCCAAGTGTCTCTGTGGTGACAACTGTTTCTCTTGTACAAGTGTATCCGCGTCTCCCACGGAGCCCGAGCCGCAGGGAATCAGCGATCCCTCCGACGCGCACGTTGTCCTCTATTAAAATCCTATTGCGCCGCTCTGTCTTCCGCTCCACTCGCCCTGAAAAGCAGCGAGGAATTGGGCTGTTGGAGAAAAGCTGTGAGTAAATGCTCCCCCTCCTCTCTCTCTCTCTCTCATCCTCTGCTCTGTGGTCTTACTTCCTTTTCTCCTCCTCCTACAGTTGACAGCAAGGCACATGTGTGGTACTACATTTACTCCTCAGTCAAACTTCTTCTGTGACACCTACACCCATCTGTCCTGGGGGACATGTCCACACCTCAGGTCCAAACGCTCATTTAGTATTTTCGTTTCGATTTTTTTTTACATTATAAATTCAATGGCACCATGAGACTACAGTGTGAACGGGGTACAGCAGGGGTCACCAACATGGTGCCAGGGGTCACCTGGTAGCCCCCGCGACCCAAGTCAATAGACATTATTCGTAAACACCTGGATAACACGATGTGAGACGACCCCCCCAAAAAAAACCGATGTGAGAAGACCCCCCAAAAAAACAATCTTTTGCGACCCACCTGAGGGTCGCGACCCAGTCTTTGAGAACCAACGTACTACTGTATGTCCCAGAACTGATTATTATGACATTGTTTAGATCAAACAAGTAGCTCTTCCTGTTACTAAGTGCCCTTGAAGTAGCACTTGGTTTCAAAAATGTTGGTGACCCCTGGTCTACAGTCTTGATGTGACCCACATGGGCATCCCACGTGGTTTTACACACAACGGAAATTGTGGCCATTTTTTGCTAATCAGTTCAATCACTTTTGCCTGGGGCTTTCGCAGGGTTCTTCCCAGCTCTCGTCCCATTAGCTTCCTGGGACGACAGCCAACTAAGGACATTCTTCCCGTTGCCCTTCGGCATCTAGCAAGAGAGTGACACTGACACACCGTCCGTCGGATACAAAGAAATAACCCGACATGACTGTTCAGAGTAAGGTCACGCTGAAAAACATTTGATATATATCCCATTTGGAGCCACAAATAAAAAATATGTTATTGATCCCCCAAGAGGACGTTGTTGGTGTTACAGTTGCTCCAGTGAGAGAAGTTAAGAAGAAAAATGCACTGCAGCAGAAAAAAACATGCCTGCCTTACAAGCAAAAAGCAGAAAGTCATGGGTTCGATTCCCAACAAAAATAAAAAAATGCTAGGATGCTGGTTGAAAAATAAATGTTCATTATGGTCATTTATTGGTTGATTAGAATTGGAAATCAAGAAAAAAAATTGTGAATTATTCCCTAAATTTAACCGCTTACTCTTTAAGATGAACATATATTTTAAGAAAACCATAGACATAAAAAATAAAATCTGGCGGGCCACATAAAATAATATGGCGGGCCACATTCGGCCCACGGGCCTTGTGTTTTACATACATGTTCTAAACGGATTGCTAAACATGCTTCCGTGTCCAGGCAGCAGCACACGGAGTGGATTTGAATCCAAAAAGAAAAGAAAAGATTTCTGTTGTTCCGTTGTATATAGGTCACATAAATGGTCCAATCTCTCTGCAGTCTCAACAAAGTCTGTTTGTTTGTGGCAGGGACTGAAGACGTTCCATTAAAAAAAAGAAAAAAAAGAAAATACCTCAGAGATATTGGTCCACTCGGAGGTATTGAAAATTTTGCTGCAAATTTTCCGGCTGCTGCGACGACACAGATGTTAGATATAGATCTAGTGACTGTGGATGTATACGCCAACACGCAGTACTGTAAACCCCCCCCCCCCCCCCCCCCCCCCCCCCCCCCCCCCCCCCAATCAATAGTACAAGGCGAGGTGGATCCATGCTTTCATGAGTACTTTCTGATTTACTGTTGCCTTCCTATTAGTCTGGCCCTTCTCCTTTGACCTCTGGCATAAACAAGCTGGGCTTTTTTGGTTTGTTTTTCCACAGCACTGCTGCTCACTGGATATTTCCTCCTTCTGGACCATTGTCTGTACACCCTGGAGATGGCGATGTGGGGGAAATGCCACTAGATCAGCACTTTGTCAAAGACTCAGCAACTATTTCACATTCAAAGTTGCTTAAATGGCATTTCTTTCACTTTCTTCTGGGGTCATCTTGGTCTGAACGCACCGACCTGCTGCCATGCGACGTCGATTAGAAACATTAGTCGACAGTCGGGAATGGTTCACTGTAGGAACGACGTCAAATTGAGGCACGTCGTACAGTAGGAGGCACAGCGAACATTAAAAGGACCCAGTATTTTCTCAGACGTGTTTCTGTTGCTGCTCTCATAAGGATGATTTGTGTGCACTTGTCGAGGCAGCTGTCTCTCGTGTTAGCGAGAGCGACTGAAAGTGATGGTGCTCGTTCTCTCCCTCTCACGAGCCCGCTCCTCCTATTGTGCCGCTTCTTGTCAATGCATCATTCAGGTGAAGTTGACACATGTTCGGGGGATTCGGTCTGGCTCCAGCAGCACGGAGTGAAGGCTCACATTAAATTTCTGTTAGTTGGAACGGTGCGTGTGTGTGTATGTGTGTAAAAAAGGATTGCTACAAAGCTAAGCAGTCCTGGACCTAAGCCAAAGCACATCTCCCAGGGTGCTATCAGGGACTTAATTACAGCATTAAATTGCCCCCTCTCCAACTCTTGCTCCCAGTTTACTTCCTCCCTCCCCCTTCCTCCCTCACTCTCCCCTTCACACACACACTTTCTCTGCCTTTATCTGTTGTTGCTCTCCTTTCCCATTTTCCCCTGCACTTGCTGGTGTGGCAGAAATGCCGGCTGCTGCGCTCATGTCATCATTGAGAGAAAAAGCCTTCAAAATTAGTTTTGACTGCGACTGGAATCCAACACAAAGCCAGAAATAGTCCTGGTTCACCTGCTGTCACTAACCTGAATTTAGATTTCCCCCCTTCTTTCATTCCTGCAAATCAACCATCTATTCTTGAGTCCAGGCACTGTCAGCTTCTACAGGGCAATTAAACACATATTGTGTAGGGTAATATTATGTTGGGGGGGGGTGGGGTAGAGCAGTGAGGATGAAGACTACCCTCAGTTATTAAAGGATTTTAGAACCATAAAGCCTTTTTATAGCATGCTATTCTCATTTCAGAGCGACTACTGTCAGTACTGTAGTACCTGGACTGTTTCTGGATACTGGTCTTACTGAAAATTATCGACTTCCTCTGTTTCACAATCAATCATTTTTGGCTAAATATGAAACCGAACAGCTCGATTTGCTTCGTCGAGTTGCCTTCGAACTAACAGTTCCTAAAGCTAGCATGTTAGAACGGTATCAACGATTCATCCATAAAGTTTCCCTCCTCTCGAAAGTTTCTTCCTCTTGAGGAGGGAGTGCGTCCTCCTTCATCCCTCTTCCCCTTGTAGCGGAACGACGTGCGGCCAATGCCCACGGTAGTTCCTGGTTGTAGTTCTGTGCCGCGTGTCATGTTGGCTCCTCACCTGTCCAGGTTTCTGTGCCTCTACATCCACAGGCCCAGCAGTGGACTGAGACTCTCCCTCCAGGGACGGAGGCGGAGGACACAGTGCAGCTGAGTCTGCTTCCGAATGCCAACACTGTGCCAACACATGACAGAGCCGGGGCTAAGAAGCAAAGGGAGTCGCTGGGAGCTTTACATTAATCATCTTCAGCTAAGTGGTTTGTTCCACTCTATTTATCTGACGTGTGAAGGGTTTTTGAACCTGCGTCTCTTTAAGGCCTTTCACCTGGGAACGGCTGCGGATTTATGGAAAAAAACAAAAAAACGAGGACTATGTAAAAAAAAACACTCCTGAAGAGAAAACCTAAGACGATGCTGAATCTGAAAAAATCTTCGGTCGGAGGTGGTTGACCGGGCAGTATTGACTGTAACAGTGTTGGCCTGTTTACCGTAAAAGTACTTACTCTGATGAAGACAGCGTGACCAGTATACCCAGTTATACCATTATGGTCAGGATATGTTTAAGACACATCAGTAAATATACGACACTATCAAGACAATGAAGGAAGAGTGTAGAGAAGAAAAAAAGAAAGAATGTTAGCATTTAGCATTTAGCTCTACTTCATTCACACTCATTGAGGCATCAAAGAATATACAAGGGAAAGTCACAAAGCTATAAAAATATTTCAAAAATAAAAACCCAACCCAACCCTGGGGGATTTCTTTTACATCAACTCTTCTCATCTATGAAGTTCAGTTTTCAGGGAAAAAAACTCAAATGGGTCTAGATCACATGTCAAAGTTAAGGCCCGTGGGCCACATCTGGCCCGTCACATTTGGTCCACCTGGGCTTAACCTACATACGTTTACCTTAAGCTACATCTCCCATAATGCTGCTTGATTTTGCCACCCGCCTTCCAGCATCTTCGGCACTACACTGTAAATCTTAATCCTGTTTGGTCCGCAACAAAGACTGGGCTTGCGATTCAACTCCAATCAGACGCTCTCTAAAATGATACCACCTTTCTTGGAGTCGTATTTCTGAGCCCCTAATGACTGGCGTGGTTAAATTAAGATGAAATAAAATAAAACGTTGCTCTTTCTAAGCATCTGAATCTGCCGTTGACTCGTGCAGAACTGAAATCCCACAAACTGTCGTTTCCCCTGTTGTCCGGAGCTGAATCTCTGTCGTGATGAGTGACCAACACTGTAGAAGGTCAAGCTGTCACACACAGTCTGACAAAACTGTTGTGTCTTTGCACGTCACTGGCAGCAGGGGGCTGCTAATATTTAACGTGCCAGGACAAAGAAGACTTCCGAATCGCTACATTTGCAAAACAAAGCATGCGTCGAAATGAATGCATTTCACCTGATCCGTGTGCGCTGCGAATGTGCACAGGTGAAGGATGGGAGCTGTAAGAGAGGCGAGCAGCTTGTAATTATCATGCGCTGTGTGCGAGCGCTGGAGCATGTCAGCGCTGTCCCTGCTCTGGGATGACGTGGTTCAAGGTGGATCAGCTGCACGATGGCAGTGAGTAGGAGCGTAAAATGTGGCGATAGCTGCTGTCACCTGAGGAGGCGACGGCGGAGTGCGGCGCTCTGCAAGACTAATTCAACCTGACAACTTTTTAGCAGTGGCACCTGGGCATCTCAAGTTCCTCGAATATCCCGAGTGGTATTCGGTCATTAATAGACTCCCCCCTCTCTCTCTCTGTGTGTGTCTCTCTCTCCCATAAAACCTCACTGGTGATGTAAAATTGATGTCGAAGACTCTCAGGAGCTGCCAAATCAATATGTGAGAAGGCGTGACAGCTGGTGGTGTCCACCTGTGAGCGAGGAGGACGCACGGGTGTGATGAGGTCGAGGAAACAGTTTTTAGGAGTGTTGATGTTCAAAAGTGTTGTGGTTTGCGACATCCTGCAACAAATAAATAATTGGCACGAGTGTACAGCAGTGATACTTAACCATAGGGCCGACAGCACCAGATAGAGGGCTGGGAAAATATTTCAGTGTT